TCAACTAAATAAGCCAGCCCTCAGTTTGAAGAACAATGCTCCATCATTTTTAAAAGCCACACAAACAACTCAGCAAATTCTATTATAAGTACTTAAAAATAAATTTTAGACAAAAAATTAAACCAGCAAATCCTCCCGAGCAGACACAAGTCTCTGAGAAATCACTACTTATTCACTGAAAACCACGGACACTTAACTCTGTGGACGGCTAAAGTTAATACAGAGCTATTCTTAGAGATCCAATTTGGTCAGTTCCCAGGTTAATTACACTCTGGTGGGGTCTCAAATAGTTAAGATCCAGTTAGTTTGATGTAACAAAATGCTGAACTTTAATTCCTATTACAAGTTATATTTACCTATACTTGTAGAACACTCCAGATAAGAGCATACTTTTTTATTGCCTATGCACATTTTCATCTACTTTCACCACTCAATATAAGAGCAAGCCTTAACAGTGTAACAGACCCCAAGATATACACCAATGGCTCTTAAAGATATAATCTATAATACAAATAATACCCTGCGACAATGAACACTCTATTAGACTTGTACTATACTTTGGTGCTAGAAACTATTGGTCCCTGAGACACACACAGAAAAGCAGCCCCTTAGAATGTATACTGAGGCGTGGGGAACACATTATAAAGAGATAATGGTCACAATATTTAATTTAACTGTTCAATTTTACTTTCAAAGTTCTCTTTGAAATGACCAGATTAAATGACCAGATCAAAAGAGAGGAAGCTGATGTAAACAGATAAAGAATCACCAGGACTGATGCAGCCAGTGTTAGCTAAGTTCCTTTTATATGCCTGACACAATCTTCTACATTTTAATAATACTAAAGCTTCAATCAAAATGTTGGTGAGTCTCTTCTCAAAAAGTTAAAAATAGAACTGCCGTATGATCCAGTAACCCCACTATTGGATATATATTCATAGGAAATGAAATCAGCATCCTGAAGAGATATCTGCACACCCATGTTTACYGTAGCACTATTCACAATAGCCAAAAGATGGAATCAATCTAGGTGTCCATCAAGGAATGGATGAGTTAAGAAAATGTAGTATATATACACAATGAAATATTATTTGACCATGAAAAAGAACAAATGCCTGTCGGTAACATGAACATGGAGAACATCATGTGAAAAAAGCCTCATACAGAAAGATAAATACCATATGATTACCTTCATATGTGGACACTAAAAAAGCTAATATCCTAGAAGGTCAGAACAGAATAGTGAGAGCTGGGAATGTGGCTCAAGTGGTAATGCCTGGCACACGCCGGGCACTGGGTTCGATCCTCAGCACCACATACAAATAAAATAAAGATGTTGTGTCCATCGAATACTAAAAAATAAATATTAAAAAAAAGAATAAAATAGTGATTACAGAGGGAAGGGGGAATGTTTGACAAAAGACATGCAAACACAGAGAAGAAGGAAGAAAAGTCCCAAAAGGGCCAATAAAAATAAGTAAAATTAATTGCCTGGGACCAGGGGTTCAGAAATAAGAAAAGGCATGGGAGATAGAAATTGAAAATGATTGCTAACTGTTATGGAGTTTCTTGGGTGGTAAAAATACTCTAAAATTGTGGTTATGGCTGCAAAGTCTGTGAACATATTAAAAAAAAACATTGGATTGTACCCTTTAAAAGGATGAATTATATGTGAATTACATTACAATAAACTGCTTTAAATTAAAAAATAACCATAGATTTTTACTAAAACAAATTATAATCAAGTTCTCAAAAGTCAAAGACAAAGAGAATTTTGAAAGCAGCAAGACAAAAGTTACTTGTCACAAAAAAATGGGAATCCCAACAAAAGTGTCAATAGATTTCTCAGAAGAAATTTTGCAGGTCAGGACAGAGTAGGATGATATATTGAAAATGGTGACCAAAAAAAAAAAAAGTAAAAACTTGCCAATAAGGTGTAATATACCCAACAAAACTATCCTTCAAACATGAAGGGAAGATAAAGACTTTCACATATAAACAAAAGCTGAGGAGTTTATCAACACTAGAATTTTCTTAGAAGACATGCTAAAACTGAAATGAGAGGACACTGGCTAACATCATGAAACAATATGAAAGTGCTGAACTTACTGTAAAGGCAAGAATCAGAATACCCAAACACTGTAGTAGTGGTATGCTAATCACTACTTACTCCAGTATAAGAATTAAGGGACAAAAATGTTCAAAACAATTATGGCCATAATAACTTGTCAATGAGTAAAAAATACAAAAAAAATCATGAATATAAAATATGAAAGGAGAAATTAAAGTGTGCGGTTTTTGTATGCAAAGTTACTATTTCCTTAAAATAGACATTTACAATTATAATATGCTTTATGTATGCCTTATGGTAAATACAAATACTATTTTGGGATTGCCATATATACTGGATATACATACATACACACACACACACACACACATATATATATATATATATATATACATACATACATACATACATACACACACATATATTCATATGTGTGTGTATGATATGTAATATCCCCAAAGCAAATGTACATAGTATGTCAAAGAGATATTTGCATTCTCATATTCATTGCAGCATTATTCACAATAGCTAAGATATGAAATCCACTTAAGTATTCATCAACACATGAATGGATAAAGTAAATGTGGTACTTATATATAATGGAATATTATTCAGCCTTCCAAAAGAAGGAAATCCTGTCATTTGCAACAACATAGATAAACCTGGAGGACATTATACTAAGTGAAATAAACCAGTACAAAAACAAAACTACTGCATAATTTCTCTTAAAAAGTCAAACTCATGGAAACAGAGTAAGATGGTGGTTTCCAGGGGATAGGGGAGGAGGGAAATGGGTAGATGTTGGTCAAAGAGTATAAAGTTTAAGTTATGCAAAATGAATATATTCTCAAGACCTATATATATATAACGTAACTAAAATTAATAATACTCTATCATATAATTGAAATTTGCTCAGAAAGTAAATCTTAAATGCTCTCACTGCACACACACACACACAAGGTAACTGTGAAATGTTAGCAAACATATAGTTGTCATCTTTAACTCCTCTTTTTATCTTCTTTATCCAAACAACAAATTTCTCATCTTTCAAGTTTCAGATCTGCCACCCTTCAGAACCACTGACACTTTCTCGAATATCAGGCTCAATAATGTCATGATTGATGACTCCAATAGTCTTGGCCTTTCCCTCATCTTCACAAATGGCAGTCATCACCTTTGCATTAAAAGACAGTGCTAGCTACATCTTTTTTATCATTCCAGAAGCCTTCAGAAATTTTCTTCTATCCATTTGTTAGAACTGTGTCACAAAGTCATTACCAGTTGCAAGGGAAGCTAAGTTTTATATTCTGCCAGACTCTTGCAGAGAATGTTTGCTATCTATGTTTAGGGTTTCTCTAGACATTAGCCACATGTGACTATTTAAATTTAAATTAATTAAATTTTAATATTCAATTTCTCAGTCTAGACCATTTTCAAGTGTCAAGAACTACTTGTGACTGGAAACTACTCTGTTGGATAGTGAATATATAAAAAAGTTTCACATTGCTGAAAGCTCTATTAAACAGTACTGTATATAGAATGTCATAATAAGGCTTATTTAATTTTATTTGCAATGTTCCAAATTCACAGAAATTTTATCACAGTATACTTTTATCTGTCATTCAATCCTTAATTAAAATATAGGCTGATAACTATGAAATCTTGTCAGTACATGAAAGTCATTTCTATAGCTGAGATTTCATCATTAAGTGCCTCATTTTTGGGATCGGTATGTCTATGTCAATTCATTATAGAAACCAGAGGCACTAATTAGATCATTATGCTTTCTGTGTTAACTCTGGCCATGAAAGTAGCACTAGAGATTCTAAAGGTAATAAATTGCCTGAATTGCGTTAACTGTTAGCTAATATAATGGACTGGTAGAAAGCTCATAGGTTCTCTGGGGAAACTACCCTGGATCAAGGATGATGCACAATTTGAGACATGTTTACAGAAATTGACTCATATATAGTAATAACTGCCTCTAAAGTTTGGGGGGAATAAAAGACAGAAATTGCAGTGTCCTCTTTTCTGCTCAGAAATTTCATTCTAAACCCACATTCAGTATTTGCCAACACATGCATCACCCTCAAACAAATAATTGAGAATTTGAAAGGAACAAAAAGGCTTAAAATGTTTAACAAAAGAAGATACTGCTTAGAAGATCTCAGTTAAAGGGTGTTCTCTTAGGGTTTTATGCCAATTTGAAATTGGACAACTTGAAGAGACTTCTAGGTTTAGTTTGATTCATCAAAAGAAACCAAAATAGAAAGGTTGTGTCTACCTGTAGTGACCCAGTCTCCAGAAGAGATCTAAATCCAAATCTAACACCTAATGGTAGAACAGTAGCAGATTAATAAAAGCCAGCCTAAAGTCTAATCATACCCATCTGTGTCATCTATTTTTAAATTATAAATATATCTAATGTAAACATGAGGGTATAAGGCAGATATTTTACCAAATTCTAAAACATATTATCAAGAAAAATGTTAAATATTATCAACTGACAAATATATACTTCAGTAAACCCATTTTCAATGTTACTGTAACTTATTATTACAAAGATTTACTTTTAACTAAGTCAGAAGTTTCTTTTATAAACCCATCAGTACAATAATGAGTTTAGGGAAACATTGCAAGATTAAAGGAGTTCTTATCACAATGAGGAATGCTATGAGATCTTGAAAAAATATTAAATTCTAAAAAGTCAAGCCTCTTTAAAAATCAGATAATTTATTTTCATCAAAATAAAATGTGTTTTTCAGTAAAATCAGCATGCTTAAGTATGCCATAATGCTTAGCAACTATCATGCAATACAACTGTAACAAAACACTTAAAGGATATAAATTGAATATAGCTATAAAACTAAAACTGGCAATAGCAACAAGGAAAAAATCATATTAGACAGGAAAAAAAAAAGACTCTAACCACTTTGTCCTCCTGGTGTGATTATCCACGAAAGCAAGTTTAAAAAGACAGAAAAGACAAAACAAAAAAGAAATTATTAATTCCATTCTTAAAACAAATAAGAGTTTGCTAATGAAATAAAAATTCTGAAAATGTTTAAATCACATTTTGACTGAAATCTAAAAGTTTAGATTTAAAATTAAAAATTTAGGAGGGACATTTTTTCCATATATTTAATACAATTCAAGCAAAAGCATGCTACTACAATATATAAACAAAATAGTTTCCATAAAAGCAATTAAATACACAAATATCAGAAAAATATATTGCCTTTTTCACAAATAAAACCCTAATTAAGTTAAAGGAAAAAACAAAAAATATTTAGTAATAAAGTTTTTAGGTACAAAGATAATAAAACATAGCCTCATTGTTTATCAATAATTTCATCATCTACTATCAAAATTAAACAAAATATAATTTTACATGAATTATGCATATTGCTTCTAAAAGTTATTTCTGACATATTAGCTTAAAAAATCTATTAAACAATGTGGCTACAAAGAAAAATTTAACTGCAATAAGTCACTAAAGATATGATATTATTATAATTAGCACTTGTGGGTCATAACTTTCCACTATTGAAAAATGTAAAAAATAAAATGGTAAGATGTAATTTTAGTCAAAAGACCCTATTTAGATATACTTAAAACCAAACCAAATTGTTACATCTTTTTAATATAAAATAATTATAATAAAAATACTAATGCAATAATAACTTGATATAGGAAGTTATATAAATTAAAACCAAACTCATGTATTTTGAAGTATTGCTCTTCCTTTTAAATACAGGTTGCAGTACAACATTTGTGACTGAGAAGAATAGCAATCACAGAGACCTATCTTAAAATCTTACTGTATATCTTGCATAATTTCCCTAAGCTATCTATCCTCTACTTCTTCATGTACAAAACAAAGAATTAATATTTACTTTATAGGGTTTTTTGAGAATTAAGTAAAATAACATGAAAAGCTCTCAGTATAGGGCCTGGCCAATAATTCCAAACCTGATAGTCTAGTCTGTTAAAAAAAAAAATAGGATATTAGTGGCTGGGGTTATGGCTCAGCGGTAGAGCACTCTCCTAGCAAAGACGAGGCCCTGGGTTTGATCCTCAGCACTACATAAAATAAATAAATAAATTATTGTATCCAACTACAACTAAAAAAAATGTTAAAAAATATTTTTTTTAAATGGGATATTATATAGAAGGGAGAGGATTGTATTCTTTATATTACTGTGTTCTTGACTGCTTTGTTTATCATAAATGTAAAAACTAAATATGATATAACAGCTATTGTCTACAATCAAAAACATCACCAAAGCATTTGGTTCAATAAAAGTCTTTCACAGAACAGTCATTACATATGGATCAGATACATTAGATGGTTGAGACATCAAAAAATAAAAAATAAATGAGATAAATTTCTGCCTTTAAGGAATTCAAGGAACTAAATATGGTTAGAGAGAAACAAATAATTGCACAATAGAGAAATTTTTGAAAGTAAGAGAACAGCAAAGCACTATGGAAATACAAATAATATAAAAGATCACAGTACTTGGAGAAAGAAGGAATAAAAAGAATCTGAGACATAAACAAGGCTTTAAAGAATAATGAAAAGAATCTCAGGGAGACTAGTGAGGGAAAATATTTCTTCCAAGACCATGGCATATGCAAAAAGCACAAAACACAGACCGACAAATTTAAAACTACAAGTAATTTTAAGTGACTAGATTAACAGATATAGTTGAACTGAAGTTCCATTGTTTACTAGATGTGGAAAAAATGCACAAGCATAACACTTCCACAAGGTAATGCACATTTCAGAGAACAGGAAAAAAAAAGGAAATAAAACCATAACTAATAGTAAATACCCATTATCAGATAAAACAAGTTTAATTTCAGCTATAATATACTTAGCTATAAAATATATATGAAATACTCACATATCTTATTGTTTTTCAATAGAAAAATTCAATACCATATAATTTATAAATAATATTATTAACTACCAGTGAGTGTTCACTCCACTATAATGTACAGACTGAATTCCAAGGAGGCAAGTGTAGAAGCTGGAAGAACAATTAGGAATTTGCTGCAACATTTTGGATAAAAAACAAGGTGAGTGTGGCAAGAACTAAACTGGGGGTAACAGGAGGAGTAGAGAAAAGTGGACTGATTTAAGAGATAAGGAGTAAGGCCTCTGAAGACTTGGTTGAGAAATAGAAAGTAGAGAAGAATAACTGGCCAACTGGGAAGATAAAAGGACAATTACTTTTAAAAAAACACATTCATATTCTCTCTCTCTCTCTCTCTCTCTCTCTCTCTCTCTCTCTCTCACACACACACACACACACACACACACACACACACACACGCAGAGCATATTTGGGAGAAATAATGAATTTAGACACAGATAATGTGACTTTCAGGTGACTATAATACACTCAAGCAGAGAGTTTCAGTAGGCAACTATGCTGTTGGATCTGCAGGTCAGGAGAATACTCTGGTGAAATTTTTATAAATCTACAGCATATGTAGAGTATTTGAAGCTATGGAAATGAACAAAATTTCCCAAGGACATTATTACAGGAAAAGGGGAGAATGGGCATAATGGCTGCTAAGCAAAATGGTCCTTCTTTACAAATTGGCAAGCCTTCTAAAGAAAAGAAAAATTTTAAACAACCAAAGAGATGGCTACATCCTCTAATCAGATTTTAGTAATGCAATCATGTCAGAATCTCACTGTAATTGTCAAAACTATCTCATTAACACTCAAACTGGAATTGTGTTATCAAAAAATCAAATGTAATGTACCACTACAAAAAGATTACCAAGTACAATGGTTGATTAAAATCTCATGTGACATATAGAAAGTATATTGCTAGAGAAAAATACTTTTATGTTAAACATAAGAATGATTTGGGGGTGCTGGGGATACAGCTCAGTTGGCAAAGTGCCTGCCTCACATGAAGAAAGCCCTGGGTTCAATCCCCAGGACCACCCCCCCACACACACACAAAAAAAAAAAAAAAAAAACATAAGAATGACTTAATTTTTAAATCAACCTGAATCATCTGGATGATTATCTCAGGTTTATATTTCATCTATTTTTAAAAATCAAAGACTAAATCGTTCAATTAAAAATGAAAATTACTTTCCATATTTAAGCTTATTAATTACAGAAGACTCGGTTTATGTATGCAAAAAGGAATACACTGATCCAATATGATTATCTAAGCCACCTAGCACAATGAGTGGTATATATAATAGGTAAGAAAAAGTCTATTAGCATAAAAACCATTACAAAATATTTCTACAGCATTTACTGCATGCCAGATATATGTCTAAGTGCTTCATAAATATTGATTTGTTTTACCTTCACAATAGCCTTGTAAGACGGGTACTATTATTATCTCTACTTACAGATGAAGAATCTGAAGTGGAGAGAGATTAAAGATCTTGTACAAATTCACAAAGCTGTCCAGTAACAAAGCTGGGATTCAAACTTTGTTTCACTTCAAAGGTGGTGCTGTAACCACTGCACAATGCTACTTTTATACACTATGGTATCCTATGCTGGCTTTGTATTTCTTATCTCTATGATTTAATTTATTAATAAATTATTCTAGATCATCATTCCTAGACTTAGAAAGTTAATGACAATTTAACATATACTCAAATTATTTGATAAATATGTAATAGTATAAATAAAATTTAAAATTTCTTTTAAATATGATTAATATTTGATTTTATTTTCTAATATAATTTTATGCCTACTATGTTTATAATCAATATGGCCACCTTTACTGCTTATTACTTCTGCTAATAACCAATCACCTTGCTTCTCCCCAAAATCAACGTGTTATTTCCAGTCTACATCTCATTATCACTTACATCATTGGTTCTATTACTCTTCCCTCAGATATTTTCTCTTGAAAGTCATGGCATAATTTCAGGCTAAATCTACTAAAACCACTTTGTGCAACTATCCATTATTAGTTCCCCCATCTTCTATGAAATTAATGTCAGTTTCCCCTCAGAATCATTCTTTATATGCTTGGTCTTTCTCCCATTATTTCCTCTATGTATAAGACAGATGCTTCCTTGTACAGTAATGCTCTATATTCCCTGTACTTAAAACTACCATATTTCTCTTTCTTCTTATTGGCCTTCCCTAATCAATTTGAAGATTTTTTAAATCTGTTTCATGCCACTATAACATTCTCTCTCAAGTTTGGTTTGTTTTTTTAAAGAACAACAACAATTAAATTCAGCCTGTATAGTTTACCTTTTTTATCCATAATTTTGGATTACCATCTTCAAGAAAGCATGCCATGGTACTGAGCTACATCAAGGAGCTAGATTGAAAGACAATGTCTAACCCAGACTAACCTTCCCATGATAAGTATACCAGATTACTTTCATTCATTCATTCATTCAACGAGTAATATGCACTGACCTATTACATACCAAAATACATAGAAACCTACAAGTAGTATAGGGAAATTAAAGTGATTGTAATCAATTAATAATAATAAAATGTTAAGAATACTAGATTAAGACTGTATAATCCAGTGTGGCACAAAAGAGCAAGTGATTATTTCACATGGGATACTCAAAAAAAGATCATAAAGAAAACGATGCTTAAGTCAAAAAAAAAAAGCCTTAAGTATTCAGTAAGTAGGAAAGGATTGTAGGGTAGGGTCTATGGGAAAGAAAAAAAGAATATGTTAGGAAAGAAAAAAGAATATGTTAGATAACAGTAGCAGGATGAGCAAAAGCATATGACATATTGGTGAAGATGATTTAAGAGAAATGCAGGTAGCATAGTTAAATTGGAACATCTGGAATGGAGTGAAGCTCATGCAGGGAATGGTATCACAGTATTAAGGGGTTTATGCCATTAAAAACTTGATTAACTCAGGAGATGAGGAATTGATGAGTGGTTTTTGTACAGAGGGAAAAATAACCAGA